TGCATGAAACAAAAACTACAGTAGGTATACTGTAGTAAGTGTTTTCACATGCACCATTACAGCCAACGGCTCTAAATATCATTGTGAAAACTACTCATGAGGACAATAATTTTCGTAAAACATAATATAACATCAAAATACTCGTATTATAGCATAATCGGACATCATTTAAACGCAACAAAACAAGGTTTTGATTTTACAATGGAACCAAAACTCGAATAGTGATTAATCTATATTAAGGAACGCGGCAGCGTTCCGCCCCGCCAAGTCCCCCAGCGGTACACAGCTGCTGCAGTGTATATATACATGACGTGACAAAGTGGCTTTTTTACTCGTCTATAGCTCTGAAGAAACAAAAGCTATTAAAATAATTGTTCATCCACTGGATAGGGGCAATCATTCTTGGCAAAATAAAAAAAAGAATTTAAAAAAAGGTTGTGTTTGAGCCAAGAAAAACTAGTTTGAAAATTCACAAATTTTCCGTGTTCTCCTTCTTCTCCTTAAATGTTGACGGACCTACAGCCCAAACCACTGGCTCAATTTTAATGTTTTTTATGTTGTTTGAAAGCCCTTAGCGTGTAGATGTGCCTTTTGAGGGTCACAAGTCGGTGCGTTGACCCATAAACCCTTGGCAAGCCCTCAAAGTACGATTTTGGCCCATTTAAATAACATGGGATTAAAATCAAAACAAAAGAAGGATCAGCTGCGATTAAATCTCAATTAATTTAAAATGTTAGAGAAATTCATAGGATCAGCTGAAAAATTATTTTAAAACTTTTATAAAGTATTTTTTTCAGGTATACCGAATGATTTGAGCTACTTACTATATAAAATTACTTAGAACAGTGATATTCCCCGATACTTTCCATTGAAAAATGCAGTGTACCAATGGTACACTGGTACAGCAGCTCGTCATTTTTAACAGTTTAATACTACTTATCAAAACATATGAAACCTAGGAACTTGAAACTTAGTACTAGTACTAAGGTTAGTTTTAACATTGTTTCTTCATAATATTGCCAAAATTTATTTAACTAAATAAGGTTAGTTTTATGTTTTGATACACTAAAACAAATAAAACAATCGGGAAAATCCGTCTACGTATGTTAAACAAGCAAAAAAGTGAATGTAAAAAGTGATATGTAAATTTAGGATAAAAATGAGTTTTTCAATATTTGTTTTGCCTTATGCTATTTCTAACAAACCTAATCTGTTTGATTACATTTTTACTTCTCTAATAAGGGCTCAATTTACACTAATCTTTAGATATACGGATTTAATTATCGGAACACTTATGTAACACCAATGCATTTTATGTGTAGTTGTGCCCTGGTCTATATATAAGAGAAAAGAGGATTTTTATTTTAACTGTTAATTTTCTACAAAAATAAATAGAATCTAACAAAAAACCACTAAGTGGTAACACTTCCCCCGCCAAGTCAGCAACCCAAAAAAGACAATAAATCACCACTTTTCCGCCAAGTAAAACAATGTAATGTATGTAAGTTTGGCCACTTGGCGGCAGACTTTTGCTTGATCACTTTAAAAAATACCATAAAATTAGTTTCATTGAGCAAGTATCTCTCCCAATAGTACATTGCTAGATGAGAGCTTATTTTACAAAATTTGACCTTATTTGTGTCACATTTCATAAAATCATAATAGTGATGGTTTTATATTTACTGATTACCTCGAAATTATTATACTTAGTTGGACTAATTAATTAGAGAAGTTGATTTGTGAAATTATCCACCAACGTACCGTAACTTTAATGAAAAAAAAAACAAGCAAAAGTCTGCCGCCAAGTTGCCAAACTTACATACATTACATTGTTTTACTTGGCGGAAAAGTGGTGATTTATTGTCTTTTTTGGGTTGCTGACTTGGCGGGGGAAGTGTTACCACTTAGTGGTTTTTTGTTAGATAATTAATACGCTACATGAAACTTTGTCGGTTGAACTCCTCCGCCATTTCTTAACCGATTTTATCCATTGAGGTCTCATTGGAAAGAGCGTGTTGCGTAGATTTGCAAACTGGCCTTACATTTTTTTAAGTACCTTGGGCTCTGCCCCAGTGGCTTTTAAAGTTTCCATGTTATCCTTATGGAGAACATAATTGTTTACATTTTGATCAGCTGTATAATTTGATTGCTGTTATTTATTGTTCAATTCAATGAAACGCATTGAGTACATTTATTTACTATTTGAGTTTGTGTAAACAAAACCATAGATAAAACATACTAAACCCCCCAGACGGATCGTGTTAGCAGGATTGTAACTTAAATGTGTGCATTTATCGTTGTTTTATGTAGTTATAATTTGTTAATTTGTTGTTTTTTTTCTTTTAAATGCCTCTAACGCGACGACAACGAAACAAGGCAGGAGGCGGTGCAGGAGGTGTAATCGTGCAGCAGCTACAGAACAGACGAATATAAACGAATAATAATGAAGATAAACATGGTCTGAGTTACACACCGGTAATCTTTGAATTGACTCTTTTAAATTAATTGTAAATATGACTGTTATTCGTTTTGAAATAACTCCTGTAATACTTTGCAATTGCTCGAATTCGAGCAACATGTACACTAGTATAAATTAATATAGGAGCATCTTTATAAAATGTTAAAAGATGTCAAGTGAGTAGTTTCTTTATTTAATGTACTTGATAGAGCGTTAGACGTATACTACTTTATGGTAGAGAGATTATGAAAATAAACGTTGTAAAATTACGATTACAATAATGAAGGCCTTGAGTACAAAGACGCTTAAGTTTTTGTTGACTTCGTCATGGTCTGGCCAAGCTTGGCAACTGATTGTTGGCAGCTGTCGACGTCTACATTGTTGGGGACTTTTCACTTTTTAACAAACGTTTTGATGAACAAAAGCTTGCCGTGTTTACAAGGCCAATAGAGCAGGCAGGTTACGGGGCAGGCTACCTGCCTATAATGTTTTTTTTCGGTTTCCGTACCTGAGGCAAAGATAGTAACTAGCCCGCCAATTTGCATCGTGTAAACTCGGTTTTTACAATATTCTCTTATATAGATGATGTAGGTACCGTACCGCCTTTATTTTATTAATTGGAGACTGGTTTATGTTAGGTTTTTGTGTAGACGACTAACAGTTGTTTGTCATCTAACATAATTTAAAATTAGTTTACTACTCGGTACCTAAATACAACGTTTTGTACTGCCTTGAAACTGATGTATATTTTTTCACAAAAATATGAGACAAAATGCACTCGAAATAATAGGCTACATTTAATTTGGATTGCGTAAAAATACACCCGTATTGAGCATATAAACAATTATAAACATCTTTTACCTATGACCGTTCTTAAAAGTAGCCGTTTCAGTTCAGCTCATAGAATTGAAAAGTTTCTCATAACAGCATAGTTTTACCATAGTCAACACCGGACATGAACTAGACACGAAAAACGAGCTTTAAAATTTACAATGGGATGGGAGGTCTACTTGTGTTTGTTAGTCTATTGTTTTACATAACAACACGGGTAACGCACCAATGAAGTCCAATGATTGAGAGAGAAGAAGTAAAATTGTAAAAAACTTCAACCATTCAGCCGTTCAGGCCAATTTAATTGTTGAGTGGTGTAATTAGTGTTTGGTACAGTATTTCGTTGCATCACTGTCAGTGGCAATACGTGAGAAGTTATGAGTAGTGGTTTTTAGTAATTAAAATACTGTCGTAGGTAAAGTAGTGCACGCAACTCGCGTAAATAGTGTTAACGACACTCGTTGAATTTTTTAATGTTTCTATTAGTGTCGTTAGCACTATTACGCAATCGTTGCGTAAACTCCTAAAATAATGCACTGTTAACTCTATCACAGTGAATTAGGATATCTTACTTCTCTGGGACTCTAACATCGGATGGAAACATTTTAAATAACTCTTGCTGAAGAATATGCTAGGTTAAATTAAACAGAAATGCTAAACTCAGTACCTATCTCAGAAGAGTATTGAAATTAATTGTTTGTCTTATCGAGTAGAACCGACGAAAGTTAAATGGTCGTGAGCAGTCACGCAACTATCGTGAGATTGCAGGCGAGGTATTCACATCAACAAGTGGCCTGTGGTTAAACACACACACTACCACTGAATCATTGACTTGAGTGCAATATACACATCTCTTCGTAATGTACAATTTAAAGCCTGGTTCAATTTGTGTATCATTTGCCTTTTGACTATTACAAGAAGTTGACTTGTAGAGTCAGCTGTCGTCTGTTTATGATAATCATATGATGTCAATAATTAGTGTTTATGTAGGTAAAACATTTACTTTCTGACATTAGAATCTTTAAATTTGAATAGTGCTAGAAGACTTCTCGTCCTGTTGGAAGAGATGGAGTTGTTATCTGTGTTTCATGATAGTAACAATTAACAACGTTTAGCGCTGTAAATTAAAAGTGTTTTCTCTTACTTCGGGGTGGACCTGCATTTTACGTTTTAGGCTTTATCGTCAAAAGACCAGACCTTAAGATTTTACTGCGTGTTTTAATCGCTTAAACTAGTTTTGAAATCAGTCTTTTAAGCAAGAAAGAAATTAGAATTTAAAAAATCCTCACACTTAAAAAAATGACACTGATGGAACTAAACTTGACGAAGTCTTTAGCTGACTCTTAAGAACGATAGTAAAAAAGGTAGTATAATCTTCAATTATGTTTCCATCAGCGAATTTCGCTAGGTATACGCAATAAGCTATTACGCAGACGGCATGGAAGGACCTAGCCCTGGGGCCTATTTACTTTTCATTTTGATGTCTCCAGAGGCCAAAACACTATCCGTTCAAATGTTTACGTATGTATATCAGTAGTCTAAGATAGACTGCTAACATAAATTAAACCTAAAGTTATTGAAATGGATTTAATTAAAAATCAAATCAGGCGAATGGAAATTCGCATAGTCTGCAAGTTTGCTGCGTCGGGGGCATTTATTTGTATTTGAATTTTATAGAATAAGTTACAAATAATCATGTATTTTTTTTCAGGAGCCGGAGAATCCGGGAAAAGCACAATAGTTAAACAAATGAAGTAAGTAGCATCCAATCAATTGATTAGAAATATAAACACACTCTACCAAAACAAACCAAATTCAGCAAACTAAGCTATTGAACGAATGAATGAATTAGGTGCTGTATTTTATAGTCATTCCTCTCATAACAAAAGCATGCACTTATTTAAACAATGGTCTACGACCGTCTGTTTTGTTGGCACACCGAATGTTAAAACATAAAACACATTACTGAAAATAAAACTATAAACAAAATAAACTTAATTTCCATTTTATACACATAAAATACCCAACTACATCCATTTTATACAAAATGAAAAAAAAAAAAACTAAACTGTTGTTTCACGTAGAGAAATGTTTCATAAACGTGTATGGTTTACAACGATCACTTAACAAATGTCTTGTGTCATTGCTGATCGTTAATTTTAATTTTGATATATTGCAACCAATTTTCTACTGTATTGGATATTTTTCAGTGAATCTTAAAATAATAATTCTTTGAAAGGGGCATTTATGGTGCAAGTAATTTTACAGTGAGGTAATCAGTTAAATTGAGACAAATTTTAATACTAACCTTGATACTACCGCAAATAATGCCAATAGCGTCGAAGAAACTCAAGACATATTCTACAATTAAATTTACAGCATTGAATGTAGAACATGCTGTATCTCAAAGGCCACTATCTTAAGTAGACCTGTAGTTGGGTGATACAGCTGTCCATAAAGAGCCAAAACCATGTGGCTCGCTGCACATGTGCCCCAGATGCCTCGTAAATTGGTTTTTTATTCATCGATAAGTCGGTAGACATGGGTGTTCAGTGGGAGTTATTTTTGACACTGGTAAGGATGATGGCGAGGGAAATTATGTCTTGATCAGTTTTATTTGGGTTGTTTTGAAGAGTGCTGTTAGTTACTATTAGGTTAAGTAGTCATTGTTGATTGGGCTACAAATGGAGGATTTTGTTTGTCTTCATCACAGACTAGGGAACCTTAGGTTCCATTTGCTGTATAAGAGTTTAACGTATAATTTGTAAGAGGTTTACACTAAATTACTAACACACACCATTCTTTGCATTTTTCTGACTAATACCTTACTAATACATTGAAATTGGTAGCTCGGTTGATATGTTATGAGCGGGTTACTAGTAATTCCTGGTCGTTGTAGGCTATATAGCTGAGTAGTTGTGGTACTTACTTGGTAAAATACTACTTGGTACTTAACTCGCCAGATTAATTATGAGGAAATTTATAACTAACAGTTCGAAAATGGTAACCAGCTCTCAAATAATTTAACTGCTATATTAATAGTTAAATGATGGAAAATAGTTTAGGAATATGTAGACATGGATGATTTTCACAGCTTTAAGCCAAATGTCAAATTTGTGTTTGCTGAAACGAGGAGGTGTATCCAAAACATGCTAGTAACTACCAAACGGAGACACTGAGGTCCAAATAGTCAGCACACATTGAATAACCGAAGGCCTGAGCAGTAATGTGTTATAATAGGGTGATTCTCCTATCATCTCGGGGTGAGAATCAATTGAAAGAGGATTCTAAATTTTGTTTGAAACCACATTGGTTAGTTGCAAAATTTTGACAAACTTTTGACTAATCATAGAGATCTTTCAATTTTTTTCAACATAGAGTATGAAGTTTTGAGATTCAGAGAGGTAAAATTGTGTAATTAATTTAAAATTGTTGTTAAAATCTAAAAATGTCTGTAGAGGCTAATTTTACAACGATATATACCAAAGTGGTGTCAAACAAAACTGTAGAATCTCCTCTTTCTATTGATTTTCACCCTGTGATGATAGGTTGTATGGTTTTTCATTTATAAAGTTCCAAATGTGTAACAGTAATTTAGAATCACCCTGTATTTTATATAGACAAGATTAGTCACTCAGAGCCACCTGCCCTTACTCCGTATTACTAACGATATTGACCTTGTTGGGAAATCCGAAACAATTTTCCTGGTGACATTTCCTGCGGAACGATATTGCTTTCATGTCACACTTGTAACTTCATTTACTTCTAAACACAATTGACGTCGCGCCTCGTTCGTCTTATGAAATCGTCTTCTAATCAGAACGTTTGATGAGACAACATTTATTTTTTAGATAACTCAAATAAATGTAGGCCTAATTCAATTTATGTTTATTGCTCTCGTGTCACAAATATAATTGAATATTCCTTATCTCTCCGATGATAAAAGGGCATTATATCTTTAAACTAACGTAAATAGACGCATTTGAAAGGGCAATTTTTCCTTTTTGTTAGATTCTGCAATGATGCGGGATTTAATTAGTTTGAATGCCCAGGCCATTTCCATTTTTCATTCCAGCAAGCTTTCGATAATTCCTTGTTATCGCTCCAGAGTGATGTCACAATGTTTTGTCTGATCAGCTCACCTAGTTACCTTAAGAAAAAAAATGTTATGCCACTCTTCTAAACGCATTTCAATTTTACTTTCAACAGTATTGACGGGACAACACAGAATTTCGTTGAAAGTAAAACTGTCTAAGCCTCTCAAATCGGTTGTGTCATCTGAGACACGATATACTCCCTCCTTGTCACCTTGCTCATAACATGCTATTCTCATCGTCCCAGAGTCGTCACTTTATGATCGTCAGTGTTATCCTAACGATATCAAAATATGATGGTTATTGTCATCCCTGTGTCGTCAAAATATGATCGTCAGTGTAATCCTAGTGACGTCAAGACATTCTAGTGACGTCAAGACATTCTAGTGACGTCAAGATATGTTAGTGTCATCCTAGCGATGTCAAAATACGATGTTCAGTGTTATCCTAGCGACTTCAAAATATGATCGTCAGTGTCATCCTAGCGACGTCAAAATATGATTGTCAGTCTCATCCTAGCAATGTCATAATACGATGTTCAGTGTCATCTTAGCGACGTCAAAATGCGATCATGATTGTCATCCCAGTGACGTCAAAATATGATTGTCAGTCTCATCCTAGCAATGTCATAATACGATGTTCAGTGTCATCTTAGCGACGTCAAAATGCGATCATGATTGTCATCCCAGTGACGTCAAAATATGATTGTCAGTCTCATCCTAGCAATGTCATAATACGATGTTCAGTGTCATCTTAGCGACGTCAAAATGCGATCATGATTGTCATCCCAGTGACGTCAAAATATGATTGTCAGTCTCATCCTAGCAATGTCAAAATACGATGTTCAGTGTCATCTTAGCGACGTCAAAATGCGATCGTGATTGTCATCCCAGCGACGTCAAAATATGATCGATAGTAGCATCCCAGTGACGTCAAAATATGATCGTTTAGTGTCATCCTAGTGACGTCAAAATATGATCGTGATTGTCATCCCAGTGACGTCAAAATATGATCGTGATTGTCATCCCAGTGACGTCAAAATATGATCGATAGTAGCATCCCAGTGACGTCAAAATATGATCGTTTAGTGTCATCCTAGTGACGTCAAAATATGATCGTGATTGTCATCCCAGTGACGTCAAAATATGATCGATAGTAGCATCCTAGTCACGTTAAGATATGATTGTGTTTATATACACTTGAATAACATTAGGCTCACCTGAATGATGACAACAAAGATTGGATCTGTACAACTTTACATATCTAGATTTGATTTCGTATTATTGTCCTATAGCCAACGACATTACAATGTTTTACTCCAATCGGTTTAAAGCTGTCACTTTATTTTTCATCAATCACCTTAGTGTCATAACGACATTTATCTATTTCACCCTTAACGAATTTCAACTCTTGTCATTTAAGTCGTGTGTTCACTCTAACCACCCACATATTTACCCGGATGTCGTCCCAATGACGTCACATTGCTATGTCGCGTCGTCTACCGTGTTCACTCAACCGCCGCTATTTTCACCACCGCATTAGCTGTTACGTCACTACAAGTGTTAACATAACAAAGTTGATTTGTGTACCTCGAGAACGACGCTTGTTTACCATCTCTCTCGCTCTCTTACGCCAGTTATAGCACTAGCGGAACCACCGTTCCACGGGACCCGTTGCAAACCGATCCACTTAAGTTTGGTGTAAGTTTAAGTCGTTCTTAACTAGACTTAAGCTTCTTAGGCCACTTTTATGCACGACGTTTTCGGTCGGGCGAAATCGACGGGTGAAATCTTAGGTCCCTTTTATGCAGTTTTTCCGCCAAGGGGAATCCGCTGGTTTTTTACGATGTCCGTGGTGGGGGGTGCCAGTGCTGCCAACTTTGAACTTTTCATTTTGTCATCATCAGTCACACAAGAAAGACCATTGTTTGGAACTATTTATGTGTGGAGAAATATAGACCACGACTCAACGAGGGAGGAGCCTGGGCTGTATACCAGGTGAATCAAAGTCGTAGACTGGATGGAGCTTTCGCAAACTTATGGTGTGTTGCGAAATGATTGTATTAGTCCGAGGATTTAAACAAAAATGTAAACTTAATTATACTCACCATGTAAGTTTTTTTGCAATTATATCACTTTTTGGCTGTATTCTTGATCTATTACAATGATCATCTGTTAAGGTTAGGCGATTTCGATGCTGTGTATGACAGAGCACGGGGTAGGTTGGCAGCGCTGCATTCAGCCTGACGGAAAACGCCGTGGCATAAAAGGGTTCCATTGAATAATTGATCCCACGATTACTACAAACATTTTTCTAGGATACGTGATTGATCCTATGTAACGCCCCGACGGAACGCCGGAACTTGGCGGAGACTCCGTCGTGCATAAAAATGGTCCAGTTTGATCCCATGTTAAAAACAACTCCCCAACGGAACCACCAAGTATTCCATCCGACAGAAAACGTCGTGCATAAGCCTTAACAGGACTCAAGGTCTCATGAATTTCATTGACGGTTTTCTGATTAATTCACTAAACTCAATTCAATACCAACCAACCGTCAATCTTTGCAGCGCGTTCATTAATTTTTTGAAACTAAGAACTGTCTGATGGGCCGGATTCGTGCCCGAACCCTTTAACGTCTCAGTTTTTATGACTTTTGGA